TTGATGGTCCTGAAATTACCATTTACGGCAAATTTGTAGTACGTTTCTAGGACATTTTTGGCTTATCTCAAGTAAAAATCTTCTAGCTCATAAAATGGCTTCAAAATCCATCAGAAATGGCAATTTCAGGACCATCAAAAGTTTTCCTTGCCCGTACCTTTCCTCATTGCAAACATGAGGCGGAAATGATCTCCACGTATGTTCTTTCAGATGTCCTGAAATGCGCCACAGAGTCTCCTGAAACATGAACTCTTTGCCATACCGAAATGTAGCCATATTGAGTCATTTCAGGTTCATTTCAGGCTACACAAAATTTATCATTTTCTTGCACCGCAAATGGCTACGAAAGTGGTAGCAAATCTATCATTTTGGGACACCAGAAAGCTCCGGTTAAGTCTCCGAAAATGAAACATTTTTGATGGCTTGACCGGGACATTTCAGGTGATCTGAAATCAGCTCATGCCTGTAGTGGAACAAGTTCCTGTGAGAGCTATTCCAGAAGGTCGGCCGCTTTGTCTGTCAATGTCGCTGCAAATATTCAATTTGTCTTGTAGCACAACGTGGAGTGCAGTGAGCCGCGGGCGGACGCGCGTCTGTTGGGTAAGCTGGACAGTGAGCTCATCGAGCCTCTCTGGATCTCCCCCACTCTCGTCGGTAAGCACTCACCAGCATATAAGCTCCTAGTGCACTATCAATAACTAGACAGTTGGTCGTTTACGGTGATGCCGCCGCTCTCCAAGCTCCGCCAGTCGCGGCTTGGTCTTGGTGAGCGTTTCGAAGGCTTCAAGTACGGGAAGGAGATCTGGGATACTTATACGGAGTTGAAGGATCTGTTCGAGCAATAGCTGCATGGTTATGTGCAGACCGTCGCATTGGAAAGTGTACGTCATATAAAGCATCTCATAATCTCTGAATAATCTAATCCATTCTGTTGTTAGGTTCCTTACGTGACTCCTTAGTTCGCGGCTACTATACAAGGCCTAAGTCAAGCTCTATATCGAGAAAGGCCAAGTGGCTCAGCGGGTTTTCGCACTGAGGTCTGGGTCAGTGTAGCCGACACTGCACGAAACTGCCACGAAACACGTAACTAGACTCGGATAAACACGTCCCATGGCTCCAAGATATCCGCCGTTGTTCAGACGCTGCAAGAATATCAACAGCTGGATTAATTCATTCTGGTGAGCGCACTTGCGAATTCGTGCAAGTCTGTCGCTGATATCAAGAACGCTCAATTGCAGCAGGCTGGCCGTCCGGTGATCTCGACATCTGTATGCCGTGTCAGCTCCGTCGAACGACATACTCAATGATGGGTGATCGATAGCCAGCTGCCAGCGAGATACGTCCGCTGGGGGTAGTACGCGTGAGACTACCTACGTAGGAATAGATCTGAATATGAATATTCATAGGCCGTCGGTTGCGTCACGATTCTGATCCTCAATGTTCGAAAGCTACCGAGGATGAGTGCAAAGCGGGGCATCGCATTTACGCGGACAAGATCAATACCCAGTATAATATTCTTGCCACGCGCAATGTGGCGCTTCGCCGTGGGCACTGCCTACCTATCACTACGCGGTTCTAGGATCGGGGCGTGAGGTCCTCGCGGTGCTCGCCTCTCCTCCCTTCCTCATTGTACCGCATATCCAACAGCAATCTTTCACTCTGATCATGTCTACTCCAAACACACAGCCTGGACCCGGAGATCAGGACGCTTCAGCCAGCTCTCTGCGCTTCCAGAAGCTCTGAGAGGACGCTATCAAGAAGTATAACAATATTACAGGCTCGGACCTCCGTCGCTCCACCCTCTTCGATAAAATGCTTGGTGCGAAATCTGTCGAGGAAGTCGTTGGCATTCTTGAAGAACACAAGAAAGGCTTCAAGGTGTTTCGCGCCCATGGCGAGAACGCCCGTGCTGTTGTGGCACCGATCGTCACCCCCACGAAACTGTTCATCGATGCTGTTGGCGAGATAGCTGCAGCTTCGGTGCGTGCTCGTCGTATGCTAACTGTCCACCTCTCACCTATGAACAGAGTATCGTGCCCGGCAGCAAGGCAATTTTTGCGGCATTCGGTGTCCTTCTAGGGGTACGTCTATCATTTACTCCTTAGCCCTGTCAATTTTCTTTTCCAAGCTAACGGTCATCAAGGCAGCTGAGAAGGTGAGCAAACGCCTCGATGCGCTCGAGGGACTTCTGTCGAGGCTCGGAGGGGTCCTTAGTCGGCTTCGCAATCACCTGCGATCACACTCGAAGCTTAGCGTCGAGCTGGAAAACATCTTCGTTAGCGCGCTCGTCCAGCTGCTTAACGTGCTCGCCATCTGCACGCAATACGTCAGAAAGCGGACATCATGGCGTAGTGCAATCTTGAAGCGCATGAGTAGGGAATATTCATCATATTAGAACTGCGATAGGTCTCGTTCCTAACCCTCGTGACAGGGGACTACGGCCGAGCCCTCCTTGGGGACAAGAATGTCAAAGAGGCCCTCGAGAAGCTGGACGACCTCACGAGAGAGGAGATTTTGGCCAACACGGCTCAGATGCTTGACATGGCGCAAGGAATAGCCGCCCAGGTCGATGTGGTTGGCGGCGGCGTTGTGGAAATAAAGGACAATGTAAAGGCTGGTGTGTCATCCCTGCATCATAATGCATCTTCGTATATTCTCATCCTGTGTAATTCTAGTGAGCAATGATGTGGCGGATCTGCGAGTCATTGCAGTCGAATCTCATAATCTGCGTCGTAAGGACAGCTTCTCTAAATATCAGTGGTAGACTTAACTAGATCTTCAGTTGACAAGGACATCCGTGATTGGCTAGCTCCCCCTGACCCGGGTCGGAATCACGAAGAACGACGAACTTCGCATCTGGACGGCACATGCACATGGTTCTTCGATAGCAAGTTTGAGGAATGGAAGGATAGTAAGAATGGTGTGTACTGGATCTATGGCAATCGTGAGTCTTCTTGCTATCACCTGTGGAAGGCATGCAATATTAATGACTCTGCATTAATGCTGCAGCTGGAACAGGAAAAAGTGTTCTTTCGTGTGTACACCTTGATTACAGTAACACCCTCTCAGTGCTGATGATGTGCCATGGTAACCATAGCTCGTCCATCATTGAGCATGTCTTGTCTATCCCTGGCCTACATGTGGCCTACTTCTACTTTGACTATCGTCGCACTGAGATGCAGACCGGCATCTGGAAAAACGCGAAGTGGAATGTGGCAAATAGACCAGCCCATACCACTCGGACCTCTGGACACAACCCCCTGAGCTGGACCATCCAGACCAACCACTGCAGATGCCGTACCAGTATATACTGTGTTGGACTAAACATAGCACTACTAATGTCATCTGTACTTGCTTGCATATGGTATGTGCATGTCTAGGCCATGCTGTACCGCAACATATCTGGACAACACAGCAGAAACCACATCCACTTTCCCAATTAGGTAATAAATTCACACAGCAGCCACTGTAGTTGTTTGCGCTGGGATAGCCAAAAAATTGCATCGATTACAGTGATATGAACAAGGTACAAGTAAAGGTCTAACAGGCCACAATATTACTGATCATGTGAGAGTATCAATGTACACCTACCTAGCAACAGCGGCGTACATCTCCATGCACTTGGCTCTTTGCAAGAGCTAGCAGACCTGTCAAAATCTGCAATGAGATGGTCAGTCAGATACTGGTATAAGGGCAGGCAGTGGAGGAACAGATCATGATACATGAACCAAGAAGTGACGCGGCTCGATCCATGATGATGTAGCCGCGCCGAGATCAATATGGATGGGGAATATGAAAGGCTGTCAGCATGGTGGCCGCGGAGCTGAGACTCACTGGCTTCAATGTGGGTCTCCCATTTAAACACAGATAAGTTTGAGCCCATCTGTGTCTTGTGCTGTCTACTCATGGGACCGAATCATGTTGCACCTAGGGAATCGGTCAGTCCAACCTGACAACTGAGCCGTACTGCCACGTACCTCAAACGTTGCCAACAATATGGTTATCACAACCGGCCTCCCACTAACCTTCGAGATCTTTGAGTCTGCGCGGGCTGCGGAGCCGGGGTTGCTTGCAACGTGGTGGACTCGGACAACGCTGGGCCACCCGACAAGCCTGCGCTGTCACGGTGAGTTGATATCTTGGTCACATTAAGTGACTGGTCACAGTGATGCCAAGAGGTGCGTGATGTTCAGCGGCTGCGACGAGCAGTGCTTCGAAGACCCCGCCAGCAGTCGCTGCTGGCTGGGAAGAGTCAGACGGGATTGAAACAGTCGAGCACAGTGGGTGCAGTGAGCAAGAAATGGTAGCTCTGCATCTTGTCCACCTCCTGACTCCACCGTTTAGTGCGTGTTGGATGTTTGATGGTCTCGGAGAGAGAGTAGATATAAGAGCATGAGAGACGAGATGGCCAACACACGGTGGACTAAAAGGACGTGCGCCAGTGGTTTAGTGCAGGCAATTCTGCACTTGCTCGCTGCATGCATAGCAACTGGACTGACACAGTTCAAGCCTTTTATTCTTGCTGCGAATATCACCAGCAGTCTTGTACTCTATGTTAGCTAAATTTTAAGGGGCACAGAAACAAGCTGCCCATACTATACAAAGCATTTCTGTCCGTGTGACGCTGCTACTGGTCTCGTGCGTCTATACTATTGTCTAGCTGGTCTGAATGGTACAGACCAAGATAGACATTGCACCCTGGTATGTGCTCATCTGTATTTTGTCCCCTGATACAAACCAGTCTATTTGGTCCCAGATGGCACAGGTTGCTGGCAGGTGGGTCTAGCAAAATGTCTTTTTCCAGATGCGTGACTGGCCTACTGGCATCTCTGATCTACCAACTTGCCATTTGTGCAAAGCAGTGCCACCAAGTTCTGCAGCATTTCTGCATGGAGAACAGGGCAGCTGAAGCCAACCAGGGAGCTTCTCCTTAGCTGCCTAGAACAGGTCCTCCAGGCTTCTGCTGGGACAGTCATCATCATTGATGCTCTTGATGAGTGTCCACGCTCTATTCGACAAGATGAACTGTTTCCCTCCCTCCAGAGAATCATATCAAAGAACATTGGAGGGCTACGTATTCTCCTGACAAGTCGGCCTGAGCCTGACATTCAAGCAGCCATGGATAGATATCCTGCTCATCAGCTCAGGCTCCATGATGCCGACGCACACACTCGTGACTTGGTCACCTATGTATCCCATGGCCTTGCCAAGGACGACTACTCAAGCTGGCCACTTAACATCAAGGAGCTTGCTCAGAAAGAACTTGTGTCAAATGCAAGTGGCATGTATGTCAACTCAGAGTCTCATTTTTTTGAATTTATTCATTCTGATTGCATGTAAGGTTCCTGTGGGTCAACCTGCAGCTTGATATGCTACGCAGCTGTCCTCCTGGAGATGTTCAAAAGGCTCTAACTGAGCTTCCCAAGACAATCTATTAAATATATGAGCGTATCCTTCAGAGCCTTGACTTTGAGTCAGGTGAAAGTGTCACAAAGCGAAGACAGCAAATGTTCCAGTGCATTGCAATTGCTAAGAGGCCACTTTCCCCTTCTGAGCTTGTTGAACTCCTTGCAGTCAACTTTCCAGCTACTGGAGACTCAGGCCCACAACTCAACCCTGACTTTCATGTCAAAGATCCAGAACGCTTCATAGGCGTCATGTGTTCCAGCTTTGTGGAGATTACTGATAGCCATGAAAACACAGCTGGGCATTGTCGTCTTGTCCAATTTGTGCATATCTCTGCACGAGACTTCCTCATCACCAGCCAACTACCGCCTTCTCTTACCTTGTATCACATTGATGAACCATCGGCACACATCACTCTGGCAAAGATCTGCCTCGTAACCCTTCTTTCCCCTCTACCACTCCCAAGTCTTCCCTTTTCCAACTATGCAGTGCAATACTGGCAAGACCACGTGTTTCCTGGTAAAGGTGCTGAGGCCATTAATAGTCTACTGTCCCGATTTCTCCACCCAACCATTTCTCATTCCTTTTCAAGGTGGCAGAAGGCACGGCCAGGATATCAGAATGGAAAACAATCTCTGCTGTATTGGGCGGCCTATCTGGGGCTTGAACACCATGTTCGGGCCTTGCTCAAGGTCGATGGAATAGCTATCAATGCATTGGGAGGTCGGTGTGGGACGGCTCTGTCTGCTGCCGCACACCGAGGTCATGAGGATGTTGTCTTATCACTTCTTGGGGAAGGTGCAGATCACAACATTCCTAACAAACATGGATTCACTGCGCTGCACTACACCATGGAATTTGGCCATGTCAACATTGCTCATGTGCTTGTCAAGCATGGCGCAGCTGTCAATGCGCAGGAGGAGGGCGGATGGACGCCGCTACATCTTGTGGTGCAGCATGACTATGTCGACGCCACGCGCGCCCTTCTCGGGCATGGGGCAGCTGTCGACGCACAGGAGAAGGACGGGTGGACGCCGCTACATCTTGTTGCACAATTCGGCCACGTCGACATTGCGCACACCCTTCTTGACCACGGCGCGGCCATCGATGTGCAGGAGAAGGACGAGTGGACGCCGCTACACGTTGTTGCACAGCATGGCCACGTCGACATCGCGCACGCCCTTCTCGACCACGGCGCAGCTGTCGATGCGCAGAGCAAGAAAGAGTGGACGCCGCTACACGTTGTTGCACAGCATGGCCACGTCGACATTGCGCGCGCACTCCTCGACCACGGCGCAGCTGTCGACGCGCAGGAGAAGGACGGATGGACGCCGCTACACCTTGTTGCACGGTATGGTCATGTCGACATCGCCCGCGCCCTTCTCGAACGCGGCGCAGCTGTCGATGCGCAGAGCAAGAACGAGTGGACGCCGCTACACCTTGTTGCACAGTATGGCCACGTCGATATTGCGCGCGCCCTTCTCGATCGCGGTGCAACTGTCGATGCGCAGCACAAGGACGGATGGACGCCGTTACATATTGTTGCACAGTATGGCCATGTCGCCATTGCTCACGCCCTTCTCGAACGCGGCGCAGCTGTCAGCGTGCAGGAGAAGGACCTATGGACACCGCTACACCTTGTTGCACGATATGGTCACGTCGACATCGCCCGCGCCCTTCTCAAACGCGGCGCAGCTATCGATGCGCAGGATAAGGACGAGTCGACGCCGCTACACATCGTTGCACAATATGGCCATGTTGACATCGCGCGCGCCCTTCTCGACCACGGTGCAGCTGTCAACGCGCTGGACAGGGAGGGATCGACCTCACTGCTCTGCGCAGCCTAGGAGGGGCACATCGACGCTACCCGCGTTCTCCTCAACAACGGCGCAGACGTCACGGTCGCGGACGCCGACGGATTGCGTGCACTGGACTACGCGAAGGCGGAGAAGCACGATGGGGTCGTAAGCCTGCTACTCGAGCGCGGCGCCGGCATCGATGCAGAGAACCCGCCGCGTGGCGAACCCGCGGCTTAAGACATGCATAGACACCGTGGATCGGGCGGGCTATGCACCTGCCGTATGGTCTTCAACACGTACATGGTGGACCGGCGAATCGGAGTAGGTTGCGGTGTTGTGGGAAGGGACTGGCGGAGGGTACGGAAGGGTGAGCTGAGGTTACATCTGGTACACAAGGTCAGAGACTCTGAAGCGGTGATGCGAGAGACGAGCGACAGGGATATTTTGAAGGACAATACCTAAATCTGGATGTATGTATGTTCGGCGGATATCTCACACGTTCTCAGCACAGAATGCTTTGAAAGATCATGTGCACATCTTATCTGCGAAATGGAATATTTACACTTGGGCACCCGTAGCCGTACACTCTACCACACTCGGCCCCTTCAAGCTCTCGCAGCGCATCTGGCCAGGTTGTTGAGACAGCGCATGTCCTCGCAAGGATTCGCTTGGTAACCCATCTCCTTCATGCTGTCTCCCTACGCCATCTTCGACATCGTCTCGTGAGTGAGCATTTCTGCGCCGATGCCGAGCTGCCTCATGGGAGACGGCCTGAGCGTGTACGGGGAGTACAAGCGGGCGAGAAGGGATTAGCTGCGCACGAGAAGGTCGCAGCGATGGAAGGCAACGACTTCTGCCAGTGACCGGTCGGTGGGCTTCACGACGTGCTTGGGAGTTCACGATGTCCTTGCGTTGGAGCTTGCGAGTGTGCGCGACGGCAGGGACGCCAGGAGAAGCCAAGGAGTGCTTTGATTGGGATTCCTTCCTGCCACCAGTCCCGGCAGGACACCTTAGCGTTGGCATTCAGCGATGGAGAGGAGTACCCTAGGCTAGAGAGAGTCGATGAGTGAGGCTGGCGGAAGATCATATCGACTGCGCACCTTATCGAGATTCCAGACCTACGCTACGTATCCGAATGCATGCAGTGCGCGCCGGACTCTGGGTTGCCAACGACATGGCCGACGATGGCCTATTCGAGGTGGTTGAGGGTATGTTGAACTTGCTGTGGGCATGGTTATTGCAGAGCACAAGGGAAACGGCGACGTGAGATGGCTCACCAGTAGGATATTCAGTCGGAAGGTTGACATGTCTGCAGATGCGAGGGAGTGCTAAGAAGGATCTCGGGTAGCTGAGGAAATGGCGAGCAGGAGGAGGGAGTTGTAGCGCCGCGCGCGTACAAATAAATACCTCCGTTATCTCGACGCTGAGGACGCGGCCATACGCTCGTGCATTAGTGTTCCCTGCAAAACTCTTAGGTTTCTTCCCTACTAGTTGATGACTAAGTAAGTAACTAGTTACTTACGTGGAAGTTATTACGGGCAGTTACTTCCCGAGTAAGTAACATGTCGGCGCTTACATGGTCCAAATACAACTCAAAATACTACCTGGTAACAAACAGTCTATGCCTTCGCTGAGACCTACTCGTGGCAGCTTATAAGATTCTTATCGACAAGTCTAAAGAGTCTTATATGATAATACTGTCTAAAACACCTCATCTGGCAGCCCACAGAAGTCGAAGATTCCAGCCTGAGAGCTTGTTGAGCAAGCAGGTAGCTTCCTCATGGCAGTGATGAAGAAGGAGTACACAGCTCGCAACCGCACAATCGCTGGTTTGGCGCAGACGTCGCAATCCCGGCGCGGCTTGAGGAGCAGGTCCTGAGGTTTGTAAAGAGCAGGTATCCATTTGACCACGAGGTTGATTAGCCATCTGCGCGACCGAATGGTGCCAACCCTGGTGCGAATGACCCAGGTGCGGTCATGGGTGAGATATAAGCCCTCGGTAAGTCTACCTTCCCTTTCTTTCAAGGCCCACTCATGATAGGAACCGAGGCCCGTCTCGCACCCAACAGTGAACTTCCGACATGAAGGCGTCCCTGGGCGCAGCTGTCCACGTCGGCGCAAGGCGGAAACACCCGTCTACAGATGAGCCGGAGACCAGCGCTTCGGAGACGGAGAGCGAGAGCGAGAGTGAGAGCGAGAGTGAATTCTTTTCTGAAGAGGAGGAATATACCAGCACCAAGGGTGAAGGTAAATCAGACGTGGGCAAGTTTCTTGCGCAGTGAGTTGTCGACCTCAAGAAGCCAACCGTCGCTCTTCATGACATATTGTCAACCACCGCTACTCCCGCAGCATTTGTCTCATTTCTAAAGTTCCGCAGTGTACTAATGCATCTGCGCCGCATCTGCTAAAGGATTTGGACTGAACAATGTAGATTATTGCTGGAAATTCGTGCATTTCTCATGTCATTAGAATGTGGGCGCTTAAATAAGGCAGAAACGTTACTGACATGGAACTAACGGGCAGTAACTAACTGTGAGAATCTTCCCTACGTTACTAACCGAGAAGAAACCCCGAGGGTAGTTTTGCAGGGAACACTAGCACTGCAGGCTGTCTCGAGATGGTCGTCGCTTCATTTTTCCTGGTAAGCGAGGAAGGTCCATATCGGACTCAAGTACCGAGGCCGCAAGCCCTGTGGTATCAGAGGAAGGTACGCAAGATGCGGTCTATGAGGATGTACGGTCGAGGATGTATATCGCCTCCATCCCATGCTCGGGTACTGCCGCCGGATGTGCCGCTTCATCCTCGGGGTCTGCGTCCGAGGACTCCTCGGTCGAGGTATTGGTCAAGTTCACCAAGCGCTACAACGCCAAGGCCCACCGCATACTGGATGAAGAGGGTTTTGCGCCACGTCTGTACTCGTGCTCGCGAGTATATGGGGATGTGTACATGGTCGTGATGGAGTACCTCGCCGGCGAGGCAATATTCGACCTCCAGGAGGCGGGTAAATCTCTCCCGCAGTCGCTCTACACGGACGTCGACACAGCGATCGGAAAGCTGCATGAGGCGGACATTGTGTTTGGCGACCTCTGTCTACCGAACATCATGTGTGTCCCTGAGTCGGGTGGGCCGTCAGGATCCCCGGGTGGTCTGCGGGCGAAGCTTGTGGACTTCGACTGGGCGGGCACCGACGGCGAGGACACTTACCCGGTGACACTGAATGACAAGCTACCTGA